GTTACCTGCAGTAATGGGTTTTTTACTCATTACATAGCCTAGGTGTTAGGGCTGCACGATTATGACAAAAATAATTGTCGATTATTGTCTTGAAATTGTAATTGCGATTTATTAATTACGATTATCACAATTTACATTGAATTATGTTTATACCATTGTGTGATGCAACTGCATGCCATATTTTTATATGAAAATAAACATGCTGAAAACACTCTAACTGAAAAACTTTTAGTGCTTTTCTATAGTATTAAACCTCAAATGTCAACTATACATCGAATTGGTTTCTTCTTTAAATTATAAAAAAGTAAAAATATAAATGATATTATAGTGTTTTACTAAAATTAAAATAATGGAAAAACCCTTAAGATAGCATGTAAAAAGGAAAAAAAAACATATTAAGCACACAGAATAACATAAGTGGACTTTGAACGATTAATTGCCGCTTTGAACGATTACGTAATTGTGGCATCCATAATTGTAATCGCGATTAGAAATTTGATTAATTGTGCAGCCCTACTAGGTGTCATCTGAAGATGATGTGTTCTTGCTGAGAGGCTGCAGAAATTAGAGTTCATATCAGTTCAACTCTCAACCTTTGCCTGCCTTTACTTTTTGCCAGGAAACATCTGAATGAATGGAACTCTCACCCTCCGTCTTTCATTATCTCTATTGTACGTAATTGATTATTCTCAATAATGAGCAGCAGAAATACTTCAGTCTTAGTTTCCATTATGAACCCCATGAACCTTTACTCCTTGAGGACCTCTAATGACCGCAAGCCACTAATGAGTCTCTCTTGGAAACAGTTGTTATGGCAGCAGCATGCCATCGATGATATATCGACTTGTTTGCCATGCTGACGGTGTGTTATAATTGTAGTGCGTTTGCACGAGGATGAGTGACTTGTTGTTTTGCATTTCTCTGATTTTGCTGCCATATTTTAGGAGTAAGGTTAGTCTGAACACAGTCTTACATATCCTGCTTAACAAGCACTGGGCGCATGTGTAAATGTGTACGTGCTGGAGTGTGAAACAGTGTATTTTTAGTTTCTCCCAGACTGTGCAGAGGAGGTGCAGAGACTGCTGGATCTCAGCCAAAGACAATAGAATACCCAGGACGTGTCACTCGTATAGTTTTGAATGGGTAAAAATGCAACACTCAATATGGCCGCGCTATTGAAGGAAGCCCCACCCTCTGAGTAAAAGAGCTAATCGCTAATCTGTAAAGCCAGCGCGTCACTGCAGCTGCCGTTAGAAGCGTCCCTGTTGCTATAGAAACAGTCAGTGTTCTGAGACGTGCGCTTAGGACTGCGCATGCGCACTGGCTGATCTAGCCTGAAAAATACGCTTTTTTTAATGCTATTGGAGCATAAGAGGCAGTTGTTGTGCGATTTCATTGGAGATTTCAAATATGAAATTTCATTGTAAGCTTGGTGAACAGTTTTGGAGAATTTGATGTTCAAAGAGATAGGAGCTGAGAGGCATTTCAAAGATGGCCGCCGTAGGCCTGGGCAATAAAACGGTATCGATATTTATCGACGGTACATCTTCTTCGATAACGATATAATTTTTTTTCGATATATCGCATGAAATAGGCACGTGCTATGAGTGACGCAGACAGCACACACAAACACGAACACATGCTGAAATGAGTGCTGTGCCTGCCTGTGATGAGGAGATTGTAAATAAAGAATGAATATTAGTCGAATTTAAAATAAACATTTGAATGTTAGGTGTGCATCAGTGGCGCGTGAGATGCGGTGTTGATGTAAGTGATGTTGTTGCATCCCACGAGATGCGCCGCTGCTGTGTTATTCATTCAAAATATTAGAGAAATTCAGAAGCTCAATGCAGAGAAGATCTTGATTAGGTTAAAACCGAAACCAATCCATTCACACAGAACGCATATTCAGCGAATTCTTAGAAGGACAAATATTGCGCAAAGATTGCACAAGAGATAAAACAGTTTAAACTTTTAGAAAACACGTCGCGAATTTGTGGAGGTTTATTCCTTTTCACTGCGTCTCATATGTTTTTAAATGCAATCTGTATGAATGGCGCTTCAGCTCTTTATGCATAATTCATTCATGCATAAATACATAGTGCTGTTTTGTTCACAATTGTTTATGCAATTTACAAAATTATATTAGATTTTTATGAGTTAATTTAGACGTAATGCACGTTTTTTATAGAGTTACTTCCTTGCGTTGACAATTTAAATGCGCTGCATTATTTTGCTCATTTCGCCCTCCTGTGGCCTCGGGAGACCAGACAAAAGTTTCCTTAAGACCTATTTAATCTGCATATAAAACATCAGAAATTAGATATTTGTGTAATTTTTATTTTGTGTTTGATTGTTAAAGCAAAAAATATTTGTTGTTTGTCTCAATAAATTGGGTTAATTTAAAAAGGTTAAATGTAAAAAAAAATTCTTTGTTAAAATTCTTTTATAAAAAATGGCAATAATTATCGATACCGAACGATATTCTTTTTTTAGCTATATCGCCCAGTCCTAGGCCTCCGAGTGAAATTACTCAGATTGTCTCAGCCCAGATTTCCAGCTCTGGAGTGTCTAATAATGTGCGTGAGTGCCCGTCTGTTTATAAGAACACCATCCATAGTGTCTGGATAGAAGGGTTGACATGCATTTTTTTTTCTCCATGATGGGTGTCATTGTTGTAAAAGTTTTTGACAAAACTGTGAGAGGTGTTGCAGACTGGAGCGAGTTGAATCTGAAATGCAATCGTTAGCTCCCACCTTACGAGCCCACATTTGCCGTCTTGCAAAATTACACTTTTTGGGGTTCAGAAGTGGGGCATTGCACAATTATACAGTACTAAGTTCTAGATGAAGTGTTGAATTTCAGAGCAGTGCTGGCTTTATTGAGAGAGTATTTGATGATCGCAGGTATCTGTGTTGGTTGGCAGGTTTTGAGGTTTGATGGACCTGTTTATTTAAGTCAAATGCCGGGTTGGGAAGCTCACATTACTGAACATCAGCTTTAGCTAAGCCCCAAACCGGGAGACCTTTAAAGCAAATAAGGCTCATATTATTCCATCTTCTTGTCATATCATTTTCTTTGCTCTTTTAAAATAAAATGTTGATGCATTATGTAGAGAGGCTCTTTAAAGTTCACAATCTGAAGCTTCCTCCCTTGTCTAACTAGACCATTTTGTTGAAACTAAGTTGCAGAAACATTTGGTTTACAAATTGTAATATCACAACCACGCATGTTAGCATATGACTGTCTGTGTTTACATGTTGACACTTGTTCAGTATTCAGAAACTCAGCCTGCCCTGATGAAACACATGAGCGAGTGGCCATGTTTTAAAACATAAAAATAGAAGTAGGACGTTTACATATAGTGGTGTTAAAGGTAGTGCAAAAAAATGGCTTTTAATTAATTAATTTATTTAAAATAATGAATTGTATTTATATGTTTTAATTAATTTAATTTAAAAAAAAAAATTCCATTTACTTAGAGTAAATAAATAGTTTTTAGTTTTGTGTTTAAAAATAAATGAATAATTATATTTATATATATATATTTTTTTATGTATTCATAATAAACAACTGATTTTATGTATGTATTTTATTTTATTTATTTAATAAATGGTTTTATTTATTAAATTATTTTTGGCCACCTTTTGTCTATTTTGCCCCAACATGGTCTTATAAGGGTGAAAGAAGGGGTGAAAATGGAAATGTTAAGCTAAATTACAGGAAGGAAAGAATTTGCTACAAATATGTTGGATATATCTGGTTTAATTGATTTGCTGATTTTGCAGCATGGGCAGAATCTGGGTCAAAGTCGGTGAAACCGTACAAGCTGCTCATTATTTAAAATAGCTATAAAAAAAACAGCCAAACTTACTACTAAAAGCAATGAACTTAGATATGTTTACACTAAATATAACTGAGCAGATAATATGCTAATTTAAATAACCAACTGAAAAATAAATGAAACTGTTAAGTGTTGTTTTTTTGTAGTGGTTTACATTAACTTTTTAAATAGAATTATTCTAACAATTCAGCATGACATACTAGATAAATTGTTACCATAGCTAGAAGGGCTGCAGAGTGTAATATTAAACACTGTTGTAAGTGATTTTGTCACACTATATTATATAGAAAAATGTGTTTGTTGCTGCTGAAGAATGTAGTTGTTTAGTTCTTCTCAAAAAATTCCATATATTCTGCACAGCATTGGAAATTATATTTTTCTCTTGAGTTATACATTTGCTGATTTAGGTTAACCATGGTCGTGTGTAACTGACAGTAGTGCCAGAATTCATTCGCTTCTGTCCGAGTTGTAAAAATCCCAACATATATTCTGAAATATTGTATGTGTCAAAAAGTGAGAACTCATGAATCCTCGTCTTTGTTCTGGAAATGTCACACCGTGTTACAGTAGCGTTTCCTTCAGGGAAGACTCTCAGACTGTGTTGCGGGGGTTGAGCTGCAGAGAGCTCCGGGTGACAGAACAAAGACCTGAATGTTCCATTCTATTCTGTTCTCTTCTGCCCTTTTCTTAAACAGAACCCACTGTCCTGTCAGACCTCTTGCCCACATGTTTGTTTGGTGTCACCTTTTGGGCCAGAACCAAGGCTGCTAGAACAGAATTGTTTTGTTTCTTCAGTATGAGAATTTCAAGATGATGTATTGAGTTTTGGAATAACTCATAGAGCAGTTATATATTAGTTTCTATGTTATATGACTAGTATCTATCTCCATCTGCAGTTCATTTGTTCGGTCCAGTTGTTTTGATGATTAAGGTCTGTCTATAGTCACAGTTAGTCTTTTTTTTTTTTTTTTTGTGATGGGAAAAAACTAAACTATACATATCCAGTAGGGCTATATAATGTTGCTGTTAATGGGCTATATATATATATAATGTAATGTAATAAATAATCTCATTATCAGAGTTGCTTTGATCATGATCACAGATACTTTGATGCAGTGCTTAACTAATTAAAATGATTTATTTTCTCTTTTTATAGACTTTGGCAACTGCAGCAGAGAATTTCCAAATGGAGCATCAATGGAAAGATGAATTTGAAGTAAGTGTTTCTACAAGTGTGTACTGAACATTTACAAGGTGCATATACAGTTATTCTATTTGATTTAATGTTTCAAACCAACTCAAGCCAATTTTATTTGTATTGCCCTTTTACAAGACATAAAGCGGCTTTTACAAGAATAGACATTAATAGGATAATGGAATTTCTGTCATGATTTACTCACCTTTATGTTGTTTCAAACTAGGGTTATGCTGGTCTACTAGTCGACTAAACAGTACAGCTCCTACTAGTCGACACTGAAAACAATAGTCGATTACACAACAGAAAAAAAGAATAACCATAATTTTAACATTGCATTTAAAACATTTTAAATAACAAGTTAAAATAAAACGTTTGAAAAATAATACATTATTTTTAAAAGTTTATCTGGGAGGAAACTACATTTTTACCTCAGACCTCACATGCGTTTTCTTCGTGTCAGGTGCGGCGAGTTAAAAAATGACCATGCAAAAGACGAGCAAGGTGTGGGATTGTTTTGAATTAGAAGGACACGTAAAGGTTTTGTGTAAACTGTGTAATGTCAAATTGTCTTACAATAACTCTACTGGAGCGATGCGTAATCATATTCAATAAAGGCACGTAGGCTTTAGTTAGCTTAGAGGCTGGCCAAAGCCAGCAAATGTCAATCACGTCATTCACTACAACCCGCCGGCGCTGCGATCGCGTCCACACCATCTATTCCTCTAATGAAGACCCACTTCGGTGGTGGTGCGGGATGTCCAGGCGCTTTCTGAAACTCTATTGGCTTGCTTTTCGTTATCTCTGCGTGCAGGAATTTTATTGTTAATCGCATCAGGTCCCGTCTTTCACCAGACCACGTTGATAATTTCACTGAACAAATAACGCATGGTCTGAGTAAGTAAAATGGGCATTGTTGCATTGCTTTGTTTTTAGACAATATAGCCTACACGAAGTATGTTTTTAAAAGCCGTTTTAATGCTATTTCTTGATAAACCTTCCTATTGTTTTTGACTTGTGGTTTAATATGTTGGCTAACGTTATATGAAGATGAAGAATTCTGTCAGGCTATTGATTGATTTTCCATTGTTCTGCATTTCCCAAGCTGATTTGAATAAATAAGCTATGCTTTGGCCGACGTTGAGTGTATGCTCTTCTTTTTTTTCTTTTTAACAACCACCTAAAATGAAATGATGATAACACGAGGCAAGTGTGCGTCAAGCGGAATTCATTGAGGGATTTGACAGTGTGATTCATAGATTAAGTATTTCAAATATAGGCTATTATATGCTACACGCACGCACAGAGTTTTTTTTTTTCTTACCATCTTTTGGGGGTTTCTTGCTTTTAGACTAGTCGGATACAAAACTTTCGTTTAAACGACAGTCAAATTAGTCGTCGCACACATCCCTATTTCAAACCAACACAGAAGATATTTCGGGTCTGAACAACAATTCACTTCTATATGGACAAAAAAATACAGACATTTATTCAAAATATCCCCTTCTGTGATGTACTGGAGAAAAAAGTAATATAGATTTGGAATGACTTAAGGGTGAATAAATTATGGTAGAATTTTCATTCCTTTAAATTAATGAGAGCAATCATGCAAATCTAAATCCAAATGAATTCAAATAAACTCAGGGCTGGTTATTGCAAGGTTACTGGTGATATTAGCCATTAACAATCTCTACGAGCAGCCAAATACTGCACTATACAAATAAAAAGAAATTGAATATGCCATGCATCATGCCTTTTTTGGGGTATTATTTACATAAGACAGATTAGTGCATTCACAAACAGATAGATCAAATAGATTGCAAGGGTTCCAAGACATAGACATTTGACTATTTTTAAACTGACATGCTCAAAAACAGTGCAAGATGCAATGCAAAGGCCAAAGACATCTGTCTTAGTACGTCTAGCTGTAGCGTGGTGCTTTAAAGGGCATGCGTTTAAAGACTTTTCTGGTGGAGAATTTTACAGTGCAACAGTCATTGCTTACTCATTAAAACTGCTGCTAAAAATATCAACATTAACTGGGCAACCTCCCTGATCGACTAGCTGGATGACTAGTCTACCATCTCTTCTCACAAGTGATTTGTTACTATGCAACTATATGGTGGTCTAAGTAACACGCATAACAGCATGGTTCTGAGACCTTTCAGCCAATCAGATGATTGCATATCCTGACTTAAAGAGATAATTCAAGCAAAAATGAAAAGCTGCTGAATATTTACTCACTCTCAGGCCATCTAGAATGCAGATGAGTTTATTTCTTCACTGGAATAGATTTGGAACATTTTGCATTAGATTACTTTCTCACTGATGGATCCTCTGCAGTGAATGGGTGCCGTCAATGAGAGTCCAAACTGCTGATAAAATATCACAACACAGCAACATGAGTCTAGCCCATCAGTTAACATCATGTGTGGTAAAAAGCTGCGTGTTTGTAAGAAACATTCATCATTAAGGCGTTTTAAATTTAAATATTTTTTTCTGGCCAAAATATCAGTCCACAATCCATAGTAACCCTTCATCCATTTTTTCCCCCCAAAAAAGTCCATCCCCTGATGTCCTCTCACGTCAAAATCCATTTGATTTGTTTTGAACTGTTTTAGATTGTAATACGGTGTTTGATCTGTGCATAGTTCTCTCCTGATTCAGATGATAAAACTTTTTTTTACTGGAGAAAGCAATTTTATGTAGAGAGGACCTATTTTAGCTGGAAACAATGGTTTGAAGTTAAAAATGTCTTAAAGGGGTCATATGATGCTGCTAAACAGAACATTATTTTGTGTATTTGGTGTAATGAAATGTGTTTATGCGGTTTAAGGTAAAAAAAACACACATTATTTTCCACATACTGTACATTATTGTTTCTCCTCTATGCCCCGCCTTTCCGAAACGCGTCGATTTTTACAAAGCTCATCGGTCTGAAAAAGCGAGGTGTGCTGTGATTGGCCAGCTATCCAGTGCGTTATGATTGACCGAATACCTCAAGCGTGTGACGGAAATGTTACGCCCCTACTATACTGTGATGATGCCCTGTCAGGCCGGAGTGATGATTCAAAAACATTAAAACCCATTATAAACGAGGCATTCGTTGCATCCAGTGGGGACATAATTATGGATTATAATGACTTATACTGTCTTTTTACGTGTTGCGTTGCATCGCGCTGCGTAAACATAAAACCATGTCTGCATTTGTGATCGGAGAAATGACAAACAACAAGCGCTACTCTACACTGCCCATAAAAACTCGCTTTAAATATATAAAATATAAAAACTCTTTAAATATAAAAAACGTACTTACAGTCT